ACACGAAGGTTTGGTGGTGGGAGAGGGTGGAGGAGCCACGGGTGAGGACCGGCCCCTGTCTGTGGAGGGATGGAGGGAGTGGGGGGAGTGGTGCACGGGGGTCAGGGATGGCTTCGCTGCAGGGTGCTGCTCCACGGGAGTTTCCTGGCGCCCGTCCTCGTGGTGGTGATGTGGATCAAGCCCATCTCACGGGACTTCCTGCTGCATGCGCCCATGGGCAAGCAGACAGTGCAGATGTAAGTGTGGCACCAGCAGCAGGGCCAACCGTGCCCCAGCATCCTTGTGTCGAGGGGAGACTGAGGCACGGGTGCTCAGGTCACCTCCAACACCAATAGTCCCCCATCCTCCCCATCACCACCTCTGCCATCAGACACCCTCTGGGGCGCAGGGAGGTTCTGGACCCCACATCTCCCTGACAGCCCCTTGCTCTCGGCCCAGCATGTCAGACTCTGCCTACAACACCGCGCGCCTCTGGACCATCGTTGGCCTCTGCCTGCTGCGCTTGGCCGTCACCCGGCATCACCTCCAGGCGTACCTGGGCCTGGCAGAGCGCTGGGTGGAGCAGATGAGGAAGGAAGCCGGGCGCATCCCTGTCCTGGAGATCCAGCGCAAGGTCTGGATGTGGGAGTTGGGATGGGAGTGGGGTCCTGCCACCGGCCTCCTGCTGATCCCCACTGCCCACAGATCACCAGGATTTACTGCTATGTCTCTGTGGTCAGCCTGCAGTACCTGGGACCCATCATCCTCACCTTGCACTGCACGCTGCTCCTCAAGACGCTGGGTAAGGAGATGGTGGGATGTGGGAACATGGGGGCGCTTAGGAGGGGCAGGATGAGACCTAGAAGTCATCCTCAAGCCATCGGCATCCCTGGGTTCTCAGATCATGGTTTGCAGGTGGCATGAACATAATGCATGCAGCGAGTGTGCTGGGGCTCGGCCACCAGCCCGTCTGTAGCACGAGGCTGGGGCCGCAGCGCTGTCCCCTCTGTCACCCAGGGCACCACTCGTGGGGGCTGTACCCGGAGCCCCCTCCCGTGCCCGCGGCAGTGGCGGTGGCCCCGCGGCGCCCCGGTGCTGAGGACGTGCGTGCCGCGGTGGAGCAGGTCACGGCCGTCCTGGGCGGCATCTTCACCCCCCTCTTCTTCCGCGGGCTCTTCGCCTTCCTCACGTGGTGGGTGGCCGCCTGCCAGGTCGTCACCAGCCTCTTCGGCCTCTACTTCCACCAGTACCTGGCAGCCTCCTGACTGGGGGAGCCCGGGGGGCTCTGGCGGTGCCCGGCTGCTGGTCCCTTCGCTCCTGCCTCGCCTGGTTTCCCCCGGCACACGTGGACGCTCACGTTGGGGATGGTTCTGCTGCTGCCGCTTGGTGTGATGGGGTTTACGCCTCAGGGCCAGCGTGAGCATCGCCTGCTCCTGCCGCCGATCACCACCGTGCCTGCTCCGGGTCCCTCCAGCCCTTCTCCCCCTTCCTGGCCCTGGGCGGTGATGGAGGAGCCGAGCCCTGGAGTTGGGTTTGCTGCTGCCTGCTCTGACCCGATGTGGGGACAGTTCTGCTGCTGTGCTCTCCTTGAGGCAGCGGTTCCTGCCAGCCCTGGGCATTACGTGTTGGGCAGAGGGCTCCATGGGCATCGCTTGTGCCAGGGTGGACTTTGGTGTTTGCTCTGCTGCCCGTCTGCCTCCGTTGGCTGGAGGTGAGTGTATTTGTAGGGTCACTGCTCTGGCCTGCAGGGCTGGAGCTCCTTGGGTCATCCCTTTGCTTTGAAGCCCTGAGGCTTCAAAGCCTCAGGCTGGTTTAGTAATAAAGAAGTAACCCAGAGACTTCTTTGCCACTCTAAAATCTGCTGCTTTGTTGGCACTTTGCAGCCCTGAGCCCCTCGAGCAGGGCAGGGGTCCCACGGTGCGAGGGCCTTTGGGTGGGTGAGCAGGAGCACCCCAAATGTGTTATTGCAGCGAGGGGAAGAGGTCGAGGTTTTGACCAAACCCTGCAGCCCACCTCATCGCAGCCCAGCTTCGTGCCTGTTGCGGCTTCTCCACCGCTCCGTGGGTGCAGGTCCAGCTGCATGAAAAAGGATTAACAGGTCTGGGCTGCTCAGAGAAAGGGAGAGGGGCTCTGATCCTATTTGATAGCCTTGTAATGGCCTTAATTCCCTTTTGCTAAGGGCTGGGGTGAGAAGGCAGCCCTCTGCCCGGTGTTAACAGGACTAATCCCACCACCTCCTCTGCCTGCTTCCCGAGTTCCGAGATGTAGACCCAGTAAAAGCCCTTTCTTGGCAAAAAACGATGGGGAAAATCCCTTTTTGCCACCAGCTGGAGCCCAGAGCAGCAGCAGCACCACTGAGCAGCACGGGGCCAGCAGGAATGTGGCTCCAGCAGCACTGACAGGGTGGAAAGGTGCAAGGAAGAAGCTACTGCCCCAGGGCTGGGATGAAGGGGACTGGCTCCAGCCCACAGTGTCCCATTAAAGCCGGCCCCACCGCCTTGATGGCTCATTTATCTCATCCTCCTTCAGCATGTGGCCGGGCAGAGCAGCAGGACGGTTGCTAGGGCCTGGGGTTGTGCTGCATGCAGACACGCAGACAGTTCCTCCCCAGGGACCTGCCCAGACGTGACCCTCTCAGGCAGGGACAATGACTGATAGACTGGGCAAGAGCAGGAGACAGAGCCACAGGCACTGCAGTGGGGCCGCATCAACCGCAGGGAAAGGCTCCCCCCCACCCCGGGTTATTTTTGCTCTTTGCATCTTTGCTTTATTTAGAACATGGGGCAGGTTGGGCCCTGCAAACGGCCACGCTCCGGCTCCAGCAGAGCCACAACCACGAGGCTGTGCTGCTACAGAGCCCTTGCACCAGGATTTGGACGGGCCCCAGGGTTTCTTGTGGTGCCCCACGCCCGGCCCTGCAGCACCCTGCGGCATCTCCGCCTTTGGCTCCTGCACGAGGTGAGAGCCCCAGGGCTGGGAAAGCTCCCAGAGCTCTTCCTTTGTGCCCGGGCAGGGAGGGAAGCGGCGAGACCTCCACCTCAAAGGAGATGCCCTTGGCCCCCTCACTGCCTGCATCCTGCAGAGCACTTCCTGCGTGGGGCAGCAAGAGACATCTGGCTTTAAACTGACTTTAACCTGCCCGAGGGGAGACTGAGATGAGCTCTTAGGCAGAAGCTCTTCCCTGCGAGGGTGCTGAGGCGCTGGCACAGGGTGCCCAGAGAAGCTGTGACTGCCCCATCCCTGGCAGTGTTCAAGGCCAGGTTGGACACAGGGGCTTGGAGCAAGCTGCTCCAGTGGAAGGGGTCCCTGCCCGTGGCAGGGGTTGGAGCTGGAGGAGCTTTAAGGTCCCTTCCAACCCAACCCAGGCTGGGGTTTTGCAGTGCTCTGCCCTGGGAGGCTGTGGGGAGGTTCCTGCGGGGGGGCTGGGACCTTCCATCCCCGCAGCATCACATCCACACTGGACACGAAACGCAGCGGGAAGCCCCAAGAGCCGAGCTGGGGGTGGGGTGGGGGGGTCCCCCACTTGGGGGCAGGCACCGGGCCATGGCTGAGCCGACAGTGCCACCTGCTGCCACTGCGCACCCGTCCCCATCCCACGCTGCAGGGACAGCGCCTGAGCCCCCTCCGGCGCTCCTGCCCCTGCCTCAAGCTGCTCCCCGCTTCCCAAAGCAGCGACCAGCTCCATGCGTGGGGGGGGCACCCACAAGCTGCGCCCCTCCGCTCGCCCCAGCCACCCAACTTTAGTCCCTCAACTCCACCCTGATGTGCCAGCCCCATCTCTCGCACCAGCAATGCGCAATAGGAGAGAGACATCCCCCAGGAGCCCGCCAAGTCAATGATATATTTTTTATTAAATATACATCCTCTGTTGGCACAAATCTTCAAATATATAAACATCATATAACAAAGTGTCTTCACCGCAATAAAATAGAACTCCAGATCCAAGAAAAAGCAGTCAAAATCGACCCACACGCTCACACACACGCAGGGATGGCAAGGACAAAAGGCAAACGAAGAGTGTTTGTGCTGATATATGCATAGACCACACAGTGAGCAGTGCTGGGAAACCTGCCTCACATGGGGAGAACGGGAGGAATCAGCCCCTACAAGAAGAAACCCAGCTGTTCTGTAGGAAGCTGGGTTTACCAAGCCAGGTAAGGAGGGTCCGTAACATACGTCCTGGCTCCCTGCAGGGCTCAAGGACCCAGCCAGGCACTGAGGAACTGATGTGGGAAGTGTCCCACTGCATTTCCCCCTCCTCCTGCCAGCCCAAGGCTGGCACCAGACTCACTTGGGGTTGCCACAGTGCTCAAGCTTTGTTTCATGCCTCATCTGCTCCTGTGTTAAAGACACTAAAGGGTGAAGACTGCAGTCCTTCTAGGCAGAAGGTGGCAGGAAGTTCACAAAGTACCATTGTCTTAACACAGAAGCTCTGAAGCTGCTTTTGGAGAGCTCCCCCAGCGTACCAAAGCTCCGCCACACAACCCAGCTCATGGCTCCCAGTGACTTTATGCCCCAGGAGGCTGCAATTCCTCTCTCCATCCTGCCACCCAGCAGCCAGCTCACGGGCAGCTCTGGCTTCCTGGGATGCTGGCAGGGGTCTGCACAAGGCAAGCAGGCTCGCAAGAAGTCAGCTCAGATCCCACCTCTCACTCATCCAAGTTCCCCAAGGGACCCTTGGAGCCCCCCAGAAGGATGAGCTCTCCCCAAGCGTCGTACGCAGCAAGCAGCCACTTCCACAGAGCACGTGGGCATCACTGGAGGTACCGAGAGAGGGAATGCGAAGGGGCAGCAGCATTTCACAGCTCGTGGAGGGAAAGCGAAGGCGCTGGGGCTGGACAAGGCGCTCGAGATCCTTTCAAACAAAACCTTCTGCCCCATCACTTTGTGCCTTTGACTTCTTGTCTCCACAGGCAAGCACCCCTTGCCTGTGAGGGGGAAGCTGAGCTGGGCTGTTTGGGCATCTTTATCAAAGCTGCAATTTGTCATTTTGGGTGCATTTCATTGGACCTGATTTTCTCCCAAGTGCTCGTGCGGGACTAAAGGTGCAGAAGCAGGGAGAGAAGGAGAGCAGAGGGGGAACAATAAATGCACAAGTTAATGTTTGGCACTAACACATTAAGGAACAAAGAGAAACATGACTTGGAAATAAAAGCAAGGTATTCGAGAAGAATAAAATGAAACATTAGAGAATTTGTGGTAATAAAGAAGTTCTAAAGAGAACAACTAGAGAATATTCCTGTTAGACCTCTCTCGGAGCTAAAGGCAACGGATCTTCCTGGCCAGCACCCACCCTCCCCTCCCACCTCCTTTCCAAATCAGCATGCCCAAAACTCCTCGGGCCCTCATTGAGGCCCCGGAGAGATCTGGAACACGTCTCAATTCATGCAGGGATTAGGAGAGGGGAAGGGAACACTGTTTCTCCTTTCCTACATTCAAATCAGAGAGGGAACATAAAAGTAAAACCAAACCCAATGCTATTTGAAAGAACCCAATGCAATAACACACAGTTACTCTGAACACTCCTCCCCCAAGAAACAAAAGCACCAAACCCAGCACAGACTGAATTCAGAGATGTGCCTCTGAACCACCCCTCAGCCTGCAGAACTTGGGCAAACGTGTTCGGCTACGACTCCACTGAATTGAAACCAGGGGTTCATTCAGGAACAACTGAGCCCAACGCTTCAAGCCTGGCTGTGCTTCAGGTCTTGTTTCTCAGCTGAGAGTCCCCATGCTCTCGATGAGCTGCCTGCACCATGGTGGGCGATGCTGGGCTCAGCAGAAGCTGCCTCCTCCACAGGCCCCTGTTCATGTACTCCTGACACAGCAGAAGGTACCTCGTGCAGATCTGCCCTCCCGTTCAGTCCCAAACAAGAGGCAAGTCATCCAGTGTAAATCCTTGCTCTGCCAGGACCCAGGAGGAATTAAGCCACCTCTGTTGCCACAGAGGTTCAGCGATGCTCATCATCTCCTACAACAAGCACTGCTGCACTTGCCTCTGAGATGACCTACCATACTGTGGAGCAAAGGAGCTCACTCCAGCTTGGATGCCACAGTTCACCTTCCTCTTGTCTTCATACAGTACCCATCAGCTGGGCAGGAAGGACTGTGCTTTGAACCAGCAGCCTCCAAGCTGAGAGAGAGCTTGGCACAGATTGTGCACACAGTCAGCCACATACACACGCAGAGTCAACCGCTGGCACACCCGGGTGCTGGTCTGTACCTCCCTTCTGTGGTAGGATACAACTGCCTCAGGATTTCCTCACTGGGCCAGACAAGATAAACACAAGAGCAGAAGTAATTGGCTTCTCCATTGGAGAAAAGAAATCAGAGCTCTTGCATAGGACTAAACAAAACTTCACCCAAAGAGAACAGCTGATCATCTTCCCCTAGCAATGGGAGCAAAAACTGTTCAGACTTCATGGCCATCGGCTCTAAAGACTCTGAAAACAGCAACACCTGACATTAATCACAAGGTAAATCAGTGACTGCAGTTTCACAACAGCAGTCATCATTTGTGGGCTTGGAGGCAGAAATCACTGAGGTTAATACCCTGCTTATCCGTGAGCATTAAAGCATGATTGATCCCACGTGTTCTGGGAACACCACACATGCTAATACCTCAGTACACTGGTTTTCTGCCACGTCCACAAACTGGAAGTGTAGGTGCTCGATTCCTGGGGAAATATTTGGCATTAGAAGCAAGTTATGCTCCAAAGAACAAGTGCAAATGCAAAAGGAAGGAGAAAGCTACTTCTACCAATTGTGCAATTACCTCCAGTCCCATTAATAAAGACACAAGGCTCAAACTACAACAGCTAAAATACACCAGAAAAGGACAGCTTTTAAATGACACCTTAGTTTTCTTTAATACATTGTGGGCTGTGTCAGCTGGAAAGGGATTTTTAATCTTAGCTTATGTCATCTGATTCTCAGAGAAGTCTGAAGTTTGCTGTGACCTTTGTTACACTCCATATTTCACCTAGGAATGGAACATAAACCAAAACCACCCCCAAAAATCTCCATTTCCCTGAAAACTGATCTCAAATAGAAACACTGGAAGGTTCTTTACCATTCATTTTCAGATTGCAGCTGGAAATGATTGGCACTAGGTTATCATTTCTGAAGGGTCAATACTGGTTTGGGTACTCCCATTCTCTCAAGGACCCAGCTGGTCTAGAAGAACCCTAGGAATAAAAACAAGTGGGCTTAGGCATGGACTAATGAACAGAGGGGACACAACCTACACAGCAGGCACCATAAGACAACAAAGTTGTTCCAAAGCAGGACCAGCAGCTAGAGCCAACTGCCAGGCCACGTTCACCGGACGTGAAGAGCCTCTCAGGATCGCTGGATCTGCATCTCCCTGACGTTTGTTCTTGCATAAAGCAGCAGCAATAATACTGCAGGATAAAACTGCTGAAATTTCAAGTCTGTAACACTTCCTTTTCTAGTGCATCAACATTACAGTTTGCCAAATCCCTCAGAAAACGCTGCCTTTAAGACCATAACCACAACAGAAAGGCTTGGGGAGCCTGAAAGCACTACTGCAGGTCAATTCAATCCAGTCTGTGAACCCAGGCACAGCCCCTCCTCAACACTGACAAACATGAGGATTTGATTTCCAGAACTGCTCAGAATTTCCCTCTCCTGCTGGCCTCTGTCTTTGGTAATCTCAGAGGGATGCTGGAGCAAGGGATATTTTATGCAACTCAGAAATGAGAACGTTTGAAAAAGGATAGTGTTTCCAGCCAGAGCCCACACTGAACTTCTTATGTTCTGGACGTGACCTGGACCTGTTAAATCCTGCTCTGTCCTGTTTTATGGAGACTCATGTTTACAGGTCAGAGGAATCTGGAATTCCCTACAAACGAGCTGGAATATTGCACTTGGCAGACTGCCACCAGCTAGCACATGTTCAATAACTAAGAACTGCCTACTGGGAAGAGCAGTCACTTCCCAGATTCAGGGCTTCATTCCACCAGCACCGAGTCCTCTCTTTCATCATGCACCGCTTCATCTGCCCACAGAGACCCAGGTGAGGAGCCAGCAGCAGCACGGTTTTGTTTGAGAGGCTCCACTCCTGGTATCACAGAGTGAACCAGAAGGGTGAGGCAGCTACTGCAGAGGACTCGGTGCTGCAGAATTCTAGGAAGAAGTTTGCTTAGGAAAGCATTAGTTTCAGGTTGAGGTTTCCAAGTAACTCAGAGGCTCATTAAAAAGAAGAAAATCCAACAACAGAAAATAACAAACAAGTAAAGGTGAGTTCTCAGCTGCAGGAGAGCAGGTGTGAGGTGAGGGAAGGCTAGCATTGCTCTTTCTACACGTGCTGTACTTTTCCCCAGCAAGGGCTGTGGGGATTAAGCTACTACCTTTCAACATTAGAGCCATGCTGTAATTTACGGAGAAGGATCTGCATCAGGTCAAAGGTTGTGAAGCTTATTCCCACTGCAATTGGACCTTTGACCCAGTTCATGCTGAGTCCTTTGTACAAGCCACGGATTAGTCCCTCTTCTCTTATAATCTCCTGCATGGTGAGAAGGATGGAACTGTACGTGTGTCCCATGACCCCCGCCGTCTGCATCCGCCGGCGAACCACGTCCAGGGGGTAAGATGCTGACTGGCCAATCAAACCTGCACAGGCACCAAACAAGAGGCGCTCCGGGGGCGATGGCTGCAACTTCCCACTGTGATCTGGGAAAGAGAAAGGAGCAGCATTTACAGAGCTTCTTAGAAGAAAACACATGGTTAGGGTCAAGTGGGTGGAGAGCCAAAGAGAGCACTGAGTGCCAGAGCTCCTGGGACTGGCTGTTAGCTGACTTGCTATGGAACCAAGTCCTTCTGCACCCAGGACTTGCACCCTCTTGCTCCTCTGCAAGATAGATACTGCTCCTCTGCAGCTTGCCTTCTTCACAGTCTGGAACTGGAAAGACGGAGGCACAAAGCTCCACGAGCACAGTTGTTCCGGGTGACCTGATCTAGTTGAAGATGTCCCTGCTCATTGCAGGGAGGCTGGACTAGATGCCCTCTGAAGGTCCCTTCCAACCCAAACTATTCTATGATTCTAGAACTTTGCAATAGGCTTCAAGGCAGAAAAGGTCTTGTACCACAGAATTCAAACATCTCAAATGGGCCAAAAGCCTACAGCATTTCATTTGAAAGCAGAGCAAGTTGCCTTTACCTGCATGTAGTTTCTTCAGTGTCTCATAGGTGAAGAAGCTAAGCCCAGCATATGGAATCACTCCAATGATGGTTGGTGTAAATCCCCTGTACAATGTCTTCAATCCTTCCTCTCGGGATATTCGGATGAAGACATGAACAATATTGCTGTACCTAGCACATGGACACAGGAAAAGCAAACCTGCGCTCGTTAGTGACTGCACACACCAGGAACACTTCCAACAGGACTTTCTGAAGGATCAACAATTAATTAATTCTGGGCTCTGAGCTCATCCAACAGCTCAGAAGGGATTTCAGAAGCCTGTCTGCAAATGGAGAAGCCTGTCACCAGCTCTCCCATTGCCCTATCACAACATGCTGTCCTATCTGTTGGAGCTCTTCTGGAGGTATCGTGCCAGTTGGCCTCCTAAAGGACAACCCCCACAGGTTTTACTTGTGAGGTCTTTTAGTATCGATCTCCTTCCAGTCCCTGGACTAACCAGGGCTCCGGTCATTTAATCAGTGCTCAGACCCCAGCAGTAAGAGGTTTATTACACCAAAGGCTCTGAGCAAGAAGTGACCCAGAAAATGGGAATAAAGTCATCTGACCTTAAAAGAAAGTGCTGCGATTGTTCGTGGTGCTTGTACTTGCTTTCGTTAGGCACTTACATCTCCTTCGGCGTGACAGCCATTCGAGCACGGACCATATCCAAAGGGTAGGTTAACATGGCAGCCGTTGTGCCTGCCAGAGAGCCAGCAATGAATCGAGGGAAGGGTGTCAGCGCTCTAAAGTAAGGTGAGAGAAGAGACCAAACAGATCACCTGGAGATGGAAATACTACGTGGCTTTTGAGCAGGGCTCTACTCTACCTGCTACCGAATCCCTTCCCTGACTGCTCACTGAAGAGAGTTGGGTGGGTTGGGGATGAAGCAGCTGTGGTTTGCCACAGACAGCAAGACAGAGGCTTACAGAATATCTTTGTTGAGGACAAAAAGCCTGACTTGAGGTGTCTCAGACATTACATGCCCAAAAGCAAGAGACTGAGACCACGCACATGGCTCAGCAGCCCAAGGCTGAATTCTTGTTGCTTCTCCTGCAAAGAAAAGCTCTTTTTGTTTTGTCTGCCCACTCTCAGCACAGGGAAGTGCTAACTCAATGTCTAGGCCACTTCTTGCTCATGCCTCTAGAAGATGGGGTCGTCTTCTCACAAAGATCTCCCCTGTGCAAGACTAGAAGCCCAGCCCTTTGCTCAGGCCCCTCACACACACCCTGTTCTGCAAAGCCACTGAGCAATGCGCTCCCTCCCTCCCTCCAGTCTATGGGCCCACAGACTGCTCCATCCTGCTCAGCCAGGATCAAAGCCACGCTGCATCTTACTTTCCCTGGAAGCCGTAGTAACTCCCCAGGAGCTGCTTGTACTCTTCGTGTGCACAGAACTGAATGGCAGCATAAGGGATCACACGGACCATGGTGGCTGAGTTCCCCCTCCAGAGACTCCAGAGGCCTTCATTGAGGTAGGTGCGATAAATCAGCCTGTAGGCTTCCTGCAGGCAATGGATCAAAGGTCAGACAAGGGAGATCATGATAAGGATGAGACCAAACAATAGTGGAAGAAAAGGTGACCCTATAGCTTAACCTCTCCAAATCCTCCTTCCCATCCCAACCACGGTAAGCTGGTATCAGCTGTTTGTGTTTGCAACTAAAACATCTTCTCTGGGGAGACTGCATCAGATACATCAAAGCAAAAAAGAACCAGTCATGAAGACAAGAGGTTTAGGTTCAAGACGTCTTCATTTTCTCTCCACAGGCAAGGCACAGAGCTGGAGTGCTTCTTGTGCAAACCTCTTCTCAACCCAAATTAATCCCCTTAGTGAAAGGCAGAACCATTTGGATTACACCTATGAGCACAGCACACCCGGGACAGCTGGAACAAGCATGCCATGAAACATTCAGCAAGCCGTGATAGCGATCAGCTCCTAAATTCAAAGTCCCTCCACACTTGGCAACAACTCCAGGGGGGCTGGGGGAAAGAGAGCAGGCAGGAGAGGAAAAGGGCTGACAAACCAAAGGCACAGGTAGAACCTGGAGCATGAAGGAGGAACCAAGGGCCCTCTGTGCAAGGCACTGGACTAAACATGAACATAAGAGAGCAATGGCCTCAGGACTATTACAAATACTGTTTCCAGTTCCCCTCTCTGTGCTCTTTCACTGTGAGTGCTGCTACTAAGAGCCAAGCAAGAAAGGGAAATAAATACAAACAAAAGCTGCTGTTAGGGCTATTACTACCATTACTCAAACCCTTCAGGTCAACAGGAGACAGACACATCACCTCACCTTGGCAGAAAATCTTTTTGAAGACACTAAAAAGAAAAAATGAGCATTAGGTCTTGCAATACATTTAGATGGATCAAATAAACCATACAGGCGTTTTATCTAAGGCATATAAATAGAAGCAAAAGAATTAATGCAAGAGGAAATAGAGATTCTTTATAATAAACAATGACTTTCCACTGGTAAGCACTCCCCGGTTCTTTAGCACATCCATACATTTTTCCACCTACTGTTATGACAATGCTCAGTTTGTGCCACACTTCAAGCACTAAAAATAAATGAATACATCAAAAAAATAACACATAAAAATCAGAGCAGCATTGACCATTTCTTTTAATCGAGCATTCCCATGCCCTGGTTCCAGACCAATGCCAGAATCCAGCAAAGAACTGGTCTGTTTAGGGAGGCTCCACGCAGAAATGGTTTCACCCCAGCAAAACTCAACACTGGGGTTCTTTTCTTGCCTCCATTCAAACTGACAGCGTCTCTTTAGCCATGTAACACACCAGGCATTTGGAAGCAGCATTTCTTTGGCATCCAGCAGCTCTGTTTTGTAACGCTCCTCCTGCAGGAAGGAAGCCCAGGCTAAAACGCGAGCAGCAGCACTAATGAAACATGGTTCCAATTAAGTGTCTATTGCAGATGCTTTCAAACTCGTTTGAGATTTGTAACCTCTCAAGTGTATCAAGCATCACATGCAAATACGTTTTCACCACACTGCTCCTTTCTGCAATTCAATGTTTTTAATAACACCACCACCTCAATAACCAATCGCAACTGGCCCCACAATGGAACAGAGCTGTCTTCCGTCTCCCACAGGGGAATTCTTCAGTCTCTAGTTCAAGGGACAACCTTCCTACACTCACATGGCCCAGGATGCTTTCCCTCTTCACAGGCAGGGAAGAGGCCCCAGAATAAAATCCTTTAGGAAAGCAAGAAACTAAGAAACCCATTAGATGCTAAGGAATTGGTCAGACAGGGCACATTTTAATCTTCTCCTTTGCAGCGAGGTTAACAGGCCAAACCAAACAGGTCTTTCTATAAATGCAGGCCCTGTGCAAATTAAAGGTGATTTATATGGACAGCTGTTGACTCACCCCAGTTCTGCAGCTTCCATCTCACCTCTGATCCATTTCCAACCTCAGATGACCTACAGTGCTTGTTCTGATGAGGAAGCACAGCACGTACTCACTGCTGCCCAAGCATCTGGTCACAGATGCAATCCCAGCCTGCAGCCAGCCCAGGCTTTAGCTCTCTACAGCTTCAACTCCCTGATCTCTATCCCTGCTATTCCAAACCTCAGCCCCTGCTACGTGGAGGATGAAAACCATGTCAAATGAAAGTCAATTCAAAATTAAATGTCACCCAGAGATTAGATTAAAACCTACCCAATTCATTTAATCTGGGATGTCAACCAGATTTAAAATTCTTGGCTTCACCAAGTGTCTACTGTATTAACAGTCTGCACTCTTCCCTTTGGGACAATTAGTGTGGCTGACAGATCCTGCACTGCAACAGGGAGCTGAGCAGGGCCCATGACGGGGCTGAATCCCAAATCCCAAGAAACACGTGAGAATTTTCTATTCCAATTAGATGCATTTCATTTGCAGTGACACACTTTGCGGGTTCCAGAAAGGGCTTTGTAACACAAAGCCAGGTATGGCAGCCTGAATGCCTGTGCAGTGCTTCTCCTCATTAAGTTCACCTCTAACCAAAAACAACTCAGCTGCAATCCAATGCACCTCTTAGTAGAAAATCCTGCACACATTTGAGCAGGCAGAGCCTGGCATTCAGCCTTCAGCAAGAAACTCAAACAGCTCAATTACCTCCCTCCAGTGTCACCCCATCTCCTTCTACCACTCCTGGCCCCTCCACACCTTATTTCTCCAAGCTGAACAGACACAGACACCCAGAGCATTACCAATCACCCCTCAAGCACTGACTTTACACTGTCTATAAACTCTGTGCTCCAAAAGTCTCCCTGATGTAGAAGAACACAAAACCAGCCAACATCCACTGGCACCATCACTAAGCAGCAGCGCGTGCATCTGTGTTACACTGAAAAATCAAAACTCCTGCTGAGTACCATGAGACTTGGATCCAGTAGGATGGGGCAGACACAGAGCTGACTGACACCTGCAATAATCCTAGCAAGAACCAAGCAGTAGCTTTTGAGACTCAATTTACTGTGGTAACGTCACTATTCTGTCTGCATCCTGCCAGGTCTCTGCAGCCTGAAGGAGGGTGAAGCACCAGGGAATAGGCTGAGCAGGTCAGAGGAGCTCTTTTGGATTCTGCCAACAATAAAGGAAGAGCATTCTGCAAAATCCATCGGGACTCACCTTGAAACATGATTTTTGTCCTGTCCAGTGGAGCTACTGCAGTTTTAGCAACAGCACCAGCCAATGCACCAGACATCAGGGAGTTGAGCACTTTCTTTTTCTCCCGGGTTTCCTGGAACAAGGCATTGCTCAATCAAGCCTAAGCAAAAGCTGTGAGATTTTACTTCTGCTGCAGCATTTACCCCCCTCTCAAAAGTTTGGGTCCAAAGTCTCTTCAAAATTTCAAGCACAGTAAAGTCCTGGTCAGCTCACGAAGCACAAAGGTTGGACCTGTCTGCTGAGATGGAACGTTCCAAGGGCTGTCATCTCTTGTACTGCTGTCGTACAGCTGAAGCCAGGACATCCCTGTTGAGGTCTCCAAAAGCTAAGCTGCTACCTCCTCATGATTTAGGCATGGAAAGAAGGAAAGCGCCTTTCCAACCCTTCCACTAACACACAAGCCCTATTTCCACACTGTTCTCAAGATCCTCAGAATAAACCAAGACAGGTTTCCTACCATGATAAATGGAATGGCAGTGGTTTGTTATTGACATTCCTGCCACAGCTCATACTTATAAAGCTGCTATCTTCTCCTAACACATGGGCAGAAAGCAAGTAAATCACTTGAAATGTAACACCGTGAAGGTTAGAGACTGTAAGACAAGTTGAGACAAGACTTAAGAATGTGAACTTGTGATATGTCGTGTATTTGGGTGGAGGAGTCCACATTTTTCTTTCTTTAGAATGCTTCACAACTAGAAAGTTAATGTTTATTACCAAAAGACGTGGTTCAGTTCAATTTTCCCTTCCAATCCCTGCCTGTCTGGTGCTAAACACAAGGGCAGCTATGCAAAGGCATGTGTGAACTTCAGCCTGAGTTTTAGTCTAAATCAGATCAAGGTTCAGTGTCACCTTCTCTCCCAGTGTTGCTAGCTAGAGTCTAGCAAGAGCAGGGAAAGCCAAGCTTATGCCTCCCTTCCCAGCTCTGCCACTGAAGACATAACAAGACATAACCTTGACTCATGAACACAGCCCTGCCTGCCTGCCAGCTCTTCCCAGAGGGCTGGAATTGCTTGGCTATGCTCAGAGAGAGCAAAAGTCATACTTTTGGTGGCTTGCACATACACTGCAGCTCCTTCAGGACTCAAATCCCATTGAGGTCCTCCCTTCAGACCACAGCCCCGCAGCTCTTCTCTCACACCCAACCACCTCCTGCCCTTACCTCTGGTAAGGTTGATGGAACCGGCTCCACATCCTGCCGCTGGAAATCCACTCGACCTTCTCTCACACCATTACCCATACCAGTTGCACTTACAAGTGGGCAGAAGAGCTACAGCTCCTACACTGAAAACAAGAACAGAGTTAGTGTCAAAATAGGAAATAAAATGTTTGTACAGGAAGGAGGAGCCACCTACTTCCAGAGCCATTTTCAGTAGGAAAAGCTCCCAGATGAAGAGCATTTTCAGGATTCTAGTGCCATCTCCTTCCTTTAAGGTGCCAGTTTATGTGTGTGTGGGTACTTTGATGCTACGTAAGAACTCTTTTCAGTCACAAGGAACTCGGGTGCAAGTTACATCAAGATCTCCGTCATTTCTGGAGAGAAGACTCAGATCCTGCTCTGCCCTTCTCCACTGCTTACAGTGAGGCTTTTGGCTGCTGCTCAGGCTCACTGCTGAGCACCCAGATACTGGAGAAGTCAGGCAGAAACTTAAAACCCAGCCTTGGAAAATGGAAAGAGCAGTGAGAGCAGCAGGTCCCAAGAGCCTGCCAGGAGCAACTGGAGCTTATTCTAGGGAAGAGGTCAATCCAATGCCTCACACGTGCCATAAAGGCTGTTCTGATGACGCCAGTGATTTGCCTGAGAGCAGCACATCAGTGGTTCAGAAGTCCCCTTCCTCACAGCTGCACGGCACACGTGCTCGCAGCTGGTGAATCAGGGCACTTTGCACAGATGTTTCTTGCTGTGATACCTGTTCCCACTTGCCTCGTGAAAGGCAACGCCAGCCTAACCGCGGCTGCAGAGGATACATACAGAGATAATGCTTCAGAGACAAGCTGCCACTTCAGTGGCTGACTCCCCAGTAGCCCTGCTTTCTGTGGTGCAACTTTTCATCCTTAAATCACAGAAATGAAGAGCTGAAGTCCAACTAACTGGAGCTGGCACAGAAAGGTGCCCTCTCCTCATCCTCAACCCACTCACAACTGGGGTGTGTAACTCCAAAGAGCAGTTTTCCAAGCAACAAGCCTGCTCACACAGCCGCGTTTCCCTTTGCTCAGTGTCTCTTCAAGGAAGGCAGTGTTAGGAAATCTAAATTCCCAAACTGGTCCCCAGTTCTGCCACAGCCTGTTCGTGTTTTCCTGTTATTTCGCCCTCCTCGGCTGCCTGGGAAACCACAGGCACCACGGCTTGCTTACCTGGGAAGCTGTCTTCAGACTGGTTTTTCCCCTTTAACAATCTCTAGCTATTATATGCTTGTCAGCACCTTTCATTCTTGCTGACCTATTTCCCTCCCCCCTGACATCACTGTCAGAAATCAGTGCCAGACTTCACTCCCAAACCCCTGTGGCTGCAGCACAGATACTGAGGCAGAGCCGGAGCAGCCGTGTCTGTATTCGTGCATGACCAGTTTGTGATGGGGAAGCTATGCGTGACCCGTGCACGCTCAGTCCAAAGCAGGACAAACACACCTGGGCATCTGTAATGCCAGACCTCACTGGCTGGAGCTCTGGGAAGACTCATGTCAATGTGTTTACAACTCCTGAGGGTGGTTTTGAAGAGAGGAGATAGCAAGATGTTGCTCAGACAGTAATAACTCAAGGTTTTAATCATGGAATGGATCAGGCTGAAGGGACCTTAAAGCTCCTCCAGTCCCAACCCCTGCCATGGAGACCGCTTCCACTGGAGCAGCTTGCTCCAAGCTCCTGTGTCCAACCTGGCCTTGAACACTGCCAGGGATGGGGCAGCCACAGCTTCCCTGGACACCCTGTGCCAGCGCCTCAGCACCCTCACAGAGAAGAGCTTCTGCCTAAGAGCTCATCTCCGTCTCCCCTCTGGCAGGTTAAAGCCATTTCCCCTTTGTCCTGTCCCTACATGACATGTAGGGCTAATGAAATGAAACCCAGAACTAATGATGGGCAACATCTGATAGACCAAAGCATGACCTAAACAGCATCAATGTTTGCATTTGAAAAGTCTGGCAGCTTGGTCACATCAGACCACGTGTACAACAAATCCCATACGGATCAAGAGCAAAGATGATTCATAGCACCAGGAGCAGAGCACTTCATTAAATGATCCTGAAGAACACCAGAGTATTTCTAATTACTATCTGCACTTACTTCCTTACCTTGTTATCTCATGTATCTGGAAAACGTATCGTAAAACAAAGCCTTTCAGCAAAAGCATGAAAGAAATCACAGGTAGAGTTATTATTCCTCGCTGTCTCCAATCAGGAAATGTAGGTCACAATATCAGATTTCTCTCGACCAAAAATAAACCCACAGAAATAGAAGTCACGCTGAAGAGCTCAGGAATGCCATATGTAACTTTGGTTCGAATCCTGATTTGGAAAGATGATTGAGAAAGAGATGACTAAAAGGACATTTTTTAACCTGAAGTCAAGTTCTTAAGCCTGGGCTTATTTTAGAGCATGCACATGCATAATGATGATGTCCATTCACTCCACAATATCCCCTCTGATACTCTGCAGACATGTTCTTTATTTTTAGTGCTCAGGGCCCTGGTCTTACAGCCACCTGTCTATATGCTCAGTTTTACACGTCCAAGCTGCCCACATGCTCTACATAAATACAGGCTCCACACTTGCTGAGGCTGACATGGAAAACCAGCGGTTCTTATTTCCATTCACATTTGCTCCCTGCAAAGCAATGCGGCTGGACTCTGATGTCAGGGAGTTACGAACTGAATTCTGGCTGCTGGGACCAAACCTGCCCTTTGGAAGCACAAAGAAAGCTTAGCTCTGAAGTTCCAATGTCAATTTGGCCATTAGAAGCCAAACATTATTTTGCATATATAGAACCTGACTCGTTCATTAAGGAATCCACTGAAACCCAACGCGGCACAGCGGGACAGCCTTTAAATCCCTGTGTTTTGTGGAGCTCTGTACACAGTCATTACTGATGTTGACAAAGCCACAGGCAGCAAGAACAAAAATAGCTGTGGATTAGACTGATTTCTTTGTAACACACTTCTGTGTTATTCATATTGTAGTTAACGTGAGTCCTTGTCACACATCTGGATCCAGGCTCCTCAGCACCACGTGCTGGAGAGCAAAGCATTCCCCTAAGAGAATATATAATCAGAAAGCACAACTGCTGGCAAAGGCGAGTTCAAGAGTTAAAGAGGTTTAATGAGTAACATACGCTGTGCTTTTACAACAAAAAAATCCTCAGAGCTTATTGAAAATACAAAGCACTTACTCCAGCATCCAGTTTCGAAGCCCATCAGAAAACACTGCCTTTAATGCAGCCACGCCAATTCAGTCATGGATTAAAGACTATTTACCAAGCTGTGAACCAGGGAAGCTCAGGCCCTTTGTCTCTGGCAGTTTTATCTTAGACAAACTGATGACTGTAGCTGCAATGGTCTGTTTTGTGATGGCCCTTTGAGCCCTGGGACTCTTTCTAGGTATCCTGCCTGGGTTCTAGCAATTGCAGAAACATCCGTGCACCAAAACAAGCTGCATTCCTCTCATGCCAGGAGATGCACAGAATACGCTCTGCACATTAAAAACTAGAGCCTTGTTAGTCTCTCCCTTCCATTCTCCCAGCTATCTCGAGCAGCACTTAATGAATACCTGAGCAAGTTCAATCAAGCTGTCAAATTGCCTCTCTGACAAGTCAGACATTCTGCTTTTCTTGGTGGGGATTTTGATTAAAAGGACAGGCAAGACAGAATCATGTTATTCAGATGATAAAAGCAACCTACTAGGAAGAAAGTCTCACAGGCAGGTGCCACTTCATTGCCCAAAGCAAGGTGGGGGTTTGGAGCAAAACCAGCTCTAGCTGTCCAAGCCACTCGTGAATCCAATCATGGTGCTGTTATTTCAGCTATCTCATCTGAATGTATTGTAAATGGCAAAGTCTTAAGAGAATCAGTTGCTTCACAGAAGAGGTGAGGAGTTTCAGAGCCCAGCACCATGACTAAGAGAGATGCACAAGTTCTGCAGCCAGGCTGCGTACAGTTAGAAGCACATTGCTGAAGGAAAGGCTTGAGGATTATTACTCATCTCCAGCTTTCAAAATTAAACAGTATTTAAAAGTTGGACTTTGCATCACTGGGGCACAGCCTGCCTGAAAGCCTCCTTTGTGTTCTACCAGCTATGCACATGCTCCCCCATGGCAGATGAACACCACTGACTTCCAAGAGCAGCAGGAAGATGTGGGGTGTGCTCAACACTCACAGCTGATGGAGGCAGAAATCACACTGCCCATCTCTCCAGGCTTTACCAACACCCTGACCATTCCCATTCTGCTAAAGCCTGGCCAGACCCCAAACTACCCAGGAGTAGAAAAATACCTTTACTACAAAAGCAGGCCCAGTCATTAGAGTTTTCATGTTCCTACACAGTAAGAAAACAAATGTCTCCACCAAAAGGGTTGTCCAGCACTGGAACAGGCTGCCCAGGGAAGCGGTGGAGTCCCCATCCCTGGAGGGATTTAAACCACATGTGGATGGGGCACTCGGGGCCATGGTTTAGTGATGGACTTGGCAGTGCCGGGTTAACAGTCAGACTCGATGAGCTCAAGTGTATTTTCTAACACAGGCCCACAGGCCTTCCTTTCACAGGGGTCTGGGGGAAGTCACGGTTCTCTGGGGCACAATTTCAACTTCATTCCGGTCAAGCTGCTTGTTTCACTCCATTGAGCTCCGCCAGCTCCCCTCATTACAGCTACCCAGGCCTGAATTCTTGCCTTTCTCTGATGTTGCTAACATCACTAATGAAAGCGTATCATTCAATTAGGAAAAGAGAAAACCCAGGGAGTTCCTGCAGCAGTTTTCACCCATCTTCCCAGGCAGGCTGAGGTGAAACAGTACCCAGGGAAGTTGCTCCACTAAGTTTCCTTCAATTGTTATTGTTAAACTGAGCAATTGAGCCTGACAGAGAAAGAGATGTGGTAAAAGCTGGGATTACTGCAGCCTTAAATTCACCCTTGGAGCAAAAGCATCACAGAAAAACCACAGGAAAAAGGGCTGAAACACTTATAACAGTGCCTTGAACTGTAACTAGATGGCTTCTTGAGGTCCATCTTTGCATGATGGTTTGATTAAACCATTCAAAATCAAAACCAGATATGCTCTGCAGAC